GAAACTTGAAACATTAAATCTAAAATTTCTATGAAAAATCAGAAGAGAAACACAGCCAAAACACTCTCGAAGAATATAAGGTCAGTAATATTATAATAAGGTTGGGAGACTTGGCCTATAAGATATCAAGTGTTATTGCAGAGCTACAGACATTAATAGTGTGGCACTGGTACAAAAACAGACACATTGGCAGAACAGAGAGCCCAGAAACAGACCTATATATTATGAAAATTTGATATAAAAGAGATTTGGCATGGCACATCACTGAAGAAATTGGTGTGAAACAACTGTTTAGCAAATACAAGTCAATTTCAATATATTAAAAATTTAAAGCGAAAGAAGAAAAGAAACTTTACAATTTTTTTTATCTTTTTTTTTTTTTTAAAAAAAACTTTACAATCTTCAAAAGAATGTATGGATAGGCCAGGCATGGTGGCTCATGCCTATAATCCCTGCACTTTGGGAGGCTAAGTTGGAAGGATCACTTGAGGTCAGCAGTTCGAGACCAGCCTGACCAACATGGTAAAACCCCATCTCCACTAAAATTACAAAAAAAATTAGCCAGGCATGGTGGAGCATGCCTGTAATCCTAGCTACTCAGGAGGCTGAGGTGGGGGATTGCTTGAACCTGGAGCTGGAGGTTGCACAGTGAGACAAGATCGTGCCACTGCACTCCAGCCTGGGAGACAGAGTGAGACTTCTTCTCAAAAAAAAAAAAAAGAGAACGTATTGGACAAAATCATTCTGACCTCAGAGAAGGAAGAAATTTTTAAACAGGAAACAAAAAGAACAAACCATAAAAGAAAAGATTGATAAGGTCAGTAATATTATAATAAGGAACTTTGTTCAAAAAGATAACATAGACCAGGCACGGTGGCTCACACCTATAATCCCAACACTTTGAGAGGTCGAGGAGGGCAGATCACCTGAGGTCAGGAGTTTATGACCAATCTGGCCAACATGGTGAAACCCCATCTCTACTAAAAATACAGAAATTAGCCTGGTATAGCGGGGTGCGCCTATAATCCCAGCTACTCTTGAGGCTGAGGCAGGAGAATCGCTTGAAATCAGGAGGCAGAGGTTGTAGTGAGCTGAGATCAAGCCAGTGAACTCCAGCCTGGGCAACAGAGCAAGACTCCATCTAAAAAAAAAAAAAAAAAAAAAAAAAAAAAGACAACATAAAGATACGAAAACATAAACCCTGAACTGCCAGAGGCTACTTGCAACATACATAACTGCTAAAAGATTAATGTGTAGATTATATGAAGAACTCTACAAATCAAGAAGGAAAGGGAGGGAGAGAGACAGACCAACCAAAAATAAATAAGACACAAATGATTATGTCATAGAAAACACAAATGGCAAATAATGCATGAAATAATGTCCAATCTGATTAGTAATTAGGAAAATGCAAATTTAGATCACAACATGATATCATTCTACCCTTGATTAGCAAAAATTAAGAAATCTGGTATTACAAAATTGGTGCAGATGTAGATAAAAGACTATGATACCGTACTGGTGTATCAACTATTACAACCACTTTGGAAAACTATTTGGTGCTATTTTAGGAAGTTGGACATTCACATATCCTGTGACATGGCAAATCCATCCCTAGGTAAGTACCCTAGAGAAATCCTTAAATATAAATACCAAGTTTATTCAAAGTCACAGAAACAAACAAAAAGCAAACTAAATAACTGAAATAGTCACTAACAGGCTGGGTGCAGCGGCTCATGTCTGTAATACCAGCACTTTGGGAGGCTGACGTGGGCGGACCACTTGAGGTCAGGAGTCCCAGACCAGCCTGGCCAATATGGCGAAACCCTGTCACTATTAAAAATACAAAGATTAGCCGGAAGTGGTGGTGCGTGCCCGAAATCCCAGCTACTTGGGAGGCTGAGGCAGGAGAGTCGCTTGAACCCAGGAGGCAGAGGTTGCAGTGAGTCAAGATCGTGCCACTGCAGCAGAGCAAGATTCCATCTAAAAAAAAAAAAAAATCTGAAATATTCACTAACAGAAAATAAAGTATAGCTAAACAGATCAACATGAGTGAATCTTAGAAACATACTGAATGAAACAAAACCAAGTCACAGAAGACTAAAAGCAATATAACATCATTTTTATAAAACCTCAAAATCAAGTAAAACAAAACATTTTTTAGAATAGCACTAAAATGTAAAAGTAGCATTTACATTTTTAAAAGATATAAGAGAATGCTGACCAAAAGAAAAGAATAAAGAAATCAGGTGGAAGCCCTTCTAGTGGAGTGGCGGGTTGACGGGAAGGGGACACAGTTGATAGGACAGTACAGATTATGTTCTAGTTGTTACACTGGGTAGCAGTTTCATGGAGTTCACATCATTAAGTTTCTTAATTGGTCGGGCATGGTGGCTCATACTTGTAATCCCAGCACTTTGGGAAGCTAAGGCAGGAGGATACCTTGAAGCCAGGAGTTTGAGATCAGCCTGGGCAACAAAGTCAGACTCTTGTCTCTATGATTTTTTTTTTTTTTTTTTTTTTTTTTTGTTTAGTTAGCCAGGTGTGGTGGCACACACCTGTAGTCCCAGCTACTCAGGAGGCTGTGGCAGGAGGATCACTTGACCCCAGGAGTTGGTGGCTGCAGTGAGACAATCTCACTTCTGTATCCAGCCTGGGCAACCAAGGGAGACTCTGTCTCTAAAAGTAAATAAACGAATAAAATTAAGCTTCTTAATCTACATCAGTTTTCTTAACCTTGCCACTACAGACGTTTTGGGTTGGATAAGTCTTTGTTGCAGGTGGCTGTCCTCTGCACTGTAGGATGCTTAGCAGCATCCCTGGTCTCTACCCACTAGGTGCCAGTGCTATCCCCTGTCCCCCACCCCCAGCTGTGAAAACAAAAAATGTTTCCAGACATTGCCAATGTCCCCTGCGGAGCAAAATTGCTCCCTGGTTGAGAATCACTGATCTACATATATGTTATATATACTTTTGAATGTTTTAAATATTCCATAATAAAATATAGTTTAAAATTGACGTGTAGAAGTTTCACTCTGTGAAACATAACCAGGAAGCCATCATTAAGAGCTGAGGAAGCCAGAGCCTGCCGGAGTCCTTTGAAGTGACAGTGCTCAGCCGTGTGAGCTGACAGTTTCAGGAAGGTTTTGACTAGCAGATGATATTTCTAGAAATTGTACCAGGTATCAGAAATCAATGACTCTACACTGGAGAAAAATGTCTGCAACCCTTCTTAATTCTTTGGGAAATCTAAAAGCTTAGTCTAGCCTTTAGGACCATCATTTAATTTTTAAAAAAATCAATTATTGATTTTTGAAAACAGGGCTTTGTGTTTTTATTGCAAACCCTTTCTTCCAAGTTATTGAAAGAGATTCATATATTTTATTACCTTTGGGGCGTTGGCTATTCCTGTAAAGTCATCACATACCTAACAGTGGCCCCTAAATGACTGGGAGATCTCCAGGAATATGATCCAGAGAAAATAACACTGCTGTTCTAGGACGATGAGTGTCTGAGAGCCCATGCTGACTACTGTACCCCATTAACCTTAGGGCCTCCCCAACTCTGTGGACTCTACTTGATAGTACCTATCTGGATTCCTTCCTTCCTCTCTCCCACCCTCCCTCCCTCCTTCCTTCCCTCTCACCCTCTCTCCTTCTCACCCTCCCCCTCTCCCTCTCTCTCTCTCTCTCTCTCTCTCTCTGTCTGTCTGTCTCTCAGTGTCTTGCTCTGTAACCCAGGCTGGATTGCAGAGGTGCAGAGGAACCATCAAGACTCACTACTGCAGCCTCAATTTCTCAGGCTCAGGCAATCCTCCTACTTCAGCCTCCTGAAGTGTTTACTTAGCCATCACACCTGGCTAATTAAAAAAAAAAAATTGCAGAGACAGGATCTCACTGTGCCACCCAGGCCGGTCTTAAAAAACTGGGCTCAAGTGATTGACCCTCCAGGCTTGGTCTCCCAAAGTGCTAGGATTACAGGCATGAACTGGCATGCCCAGCCACCTATTTGGTTCTTATACTTACACTACAGTTCCATTTAACTCAGATGGGGAGAGTTTATTACCTTCATTTTTTTAAATGGAGAAACATAGACACAGAGAGTGTATATGACTTTTTCAAGATAAAAGAATCCAGAGTTAATTGATTAGAAATACTAATTTGGCATGACAATCAGGTCTCTTGAAGCTTGATCTTTATGCTTTTTTTTTTTTTTTTTCTCTTTTAAACCAGGCTCTGAACTGTGTTTGGACACATACGAGTATGCTCATGCAGGTGTGTGTGTGTGCATGTGGGCATCTGTGTGTCTCTGGTTTGGGGATGTATGTCTGTTTCTCTGAGGATAAGGTGTCAAGGAGGAGACAAGGCAAGGGATTAAAGAGAGGAGCTAGGAGGAAAGGCATGAAAGAAAGACTATGAGATTACCAGTGTGCAGTGGTGCAAGCCGAGAGTCCCAGCTACTCCAGAGGCTGAATTGGGAGGATTGCTTCAGCCCAGGAGCTCAAGGCCAGACTGGACAATATAATGCGACCCAATCTCAAAAAATAAAATAAAATAAAAATAAAGAAAGAATGTCAGATTCAGAAGATGCTTTCGGCAAGATCTCTGGAGGTCTCAGTTCAACTGTAAAAGCTTACAATGATTGCAAGAATCAAATGAGATGTGTCTTTGAAAGTATTTTCTGTGTCTGTACATAAATATTTGTGTGTGTGTGTGTGTGTGTGTGTGTGTGTGTGTGTGTTTGTGTTTTAGTAGAGCTACTAAGGAGGCTGAGGCAGGAGATTTGTTTGAATCCAGGAGGTGGAGATTGCAGTAAGCCAAGATTGCACCACTGCACTTCAGCTTGGGCAACAGAGTGAGACTCTGTCTCAAAAGAAAAAAAAAATAATAATTAGTGATTGCCATTATTAGAATTATTATTAAAATATAATTAGATGCAAAAGCAACCCTCATGAGTGGGATGACTCACATTTTCTTCATTTTCTTGGCACTCACTCTTACCATATGTCCAGCTCAGAGGAATATTCAGTGGCTCCCAGCAAAGCATCGGGAGGCCGGTACCAGAGGGTCACGACTTCGGAAGAATATGTTTGGCTGGGAACAGACTTGGCCCGAGCAAGACCTGTCCAAAGAGGAAAAGCATAAAATTGTTCTAGACCCTGGCTTGCACCATGATGCACTGGACCACGGAGAGTATAACTGACAGGGAAAACATCATTAAAAAAAAAAATACATGAACTTTAGGTGCTTCTAACAGAACTAATCACTCTCTTGACTCTTATCTATCACTTCCTAGAGTGAATTTCTCAAATTTTGGCCTGCTTTGCAGCTAGATGTGGCCATCTTGGCAGCTGAGTGTGGTGAGGTGACTAAGTTCTTGCCTATGTGATAAGAACAGAGTGATGTGTGAACTTCCAGATCATGCCTTAGTGGAGGGGTTAAGTGTTCTGCTTCCCCTTTCTCCTTCCTCTGGGCTGTGATGAGCAGAAGGTGGCAGCCATCTTGAAACAAGCAATTGGGAGAAAATCCTAGGGATGGTGGAGTCACGTGACAGAAGCGGCCTGGGCCAAGACACCACGGGGCCACCATACATGCTCTGCCTGCTTAGGTCAGGACTGTGATGTGAGAGAAAGTTAAGTTTCTTATGTGTTATACCTCTGTAATTTTAGGTCTCTGTAACAGCAACTGAACTCAGTCCACGACTGACGTTGCCACCTTCCATTTTGGCACTCCAGGAAAGCCCAGTTTAATAGATAAAGGGTAGGGACTGCTCATTCAAATTAGTTTGGTAGGACCTTACATGAATTACTAAGTGCTGTTCTGCAAAATGAGTCTGTCAGTCAGCTGTTTATCCTACAGAATTGCATGATCTATTGTTGGGGAAAACCTCCATAGATGAGTTTGCTGTTGTGGAGAACTGACAAATAAACATCTGTTAAATGCTTACAAGTCAGGACAAAAGCTGCCATCTCGGAATAAATACTGCAGCTATAGTATCACCATTTGAATCTGCCAAACAGAGAAGAGTGGTTCCTTAGCTCACATAGTGCCAGTTTTTCAACATGTATTTATTAAGCACCTACTATGGTACGAGGCACTAGGAATATAATAATAAGCAAAAACAGACCCAGGCTGCCCTCATGATGCTTATAGTCCAATTGGGACACAATCATCATGCAAATATATGTGTGCTCACACATGTGTATATATTTATGTGTATGCATGTATGTATCTATATATGTGTGTGTAAATATAATTATAAACTGTGGTAAGTGCTAAAATGGAAAGATGCTGTGATACTTAGAGGAAATCTGCTTCACTTTAATGGGAATAAAACTTCGCATACCCATACAGTCATACCTATATAAATACGTAGGAGAGCTGGAACAAGTGTCCTGGAGTCTCCATCCTGACAGGAGTCCATGCCACAGTCTGTGGTCAACCTCTTTATCACCTTGGGATAATCTCAATCTATTCCAACATGATTTGTATATCCACTTAGATTTAGAAAAACTTACTAAGTACAGTTTACGAATGTCTCTCTATCAAAAATGGCAGTGGGGCAATAGAGGTGCCCAGCTTTTGACCATTTGACTAAACGGCGACTTGGTGGAATCCTAGGAAGCTACCAATCCCTCCCTGTTTCGTGCCTCATACTTCCTTTATGGTAGTTTGATATCCTCACAAAGCATCATGTTCTCAGGCCTCCAGTTTTCAAAGGCCAGGCCCGGTCAACGCTTAAACAAGTGCACACAAAAGCATCATTGTTCACAGCCCAGAAGGAGACCCGAGGGGCGACTTACCAAAATCAGCCAGTTTGAGCTCTCCCAGGTGACTGATGAGTAAGTTCTGAGGTTTCAGGTCTCTGTGAAGAACATGTTGGTGGTGGATGTACGCCAGGCCCCGCAAAAGTTGAAACATGAAAAGCTGGAAGGAAGAAACACTATCCATAAGGAGATTTGAGCCACCACGTGCTGATTTCTCCCCTAAATCAAAAACAGTCATCTGAAAGAATATAGTAAAAGTGTCTCTTGAGAGACCAAGAAAAAAAAAAAAGAAGAAGAAGATTTTTACATTCAGAGGGGGAAGAAATAGGACAAGGAAAGTCAAGTAACTAGACTATGTCCTAAACAAAGGGATTCCGGCTTTTCCTGACATCTCATTTCTTTGATACTGAAGGAATTACCCTTCCTTAAATATCTAAAGTGAAACTTTGAAGTTTCCTTTGGAACACTAGTTATTGATTTAGATGTGAAAGATTTAATTTTTTTCCCCACCAATGAACTTGGCATATAAGATCAAAGTTGACCTGGAAATGATATTCTAAAGTTTACAACTGCTTAAGGTTTCTAGGCACTCCGATATGAAACCCTTTTAAAAACACAACACAAGGAGACCAGGCTAAAAAGTATATCTTTAGATGGTATTAGAAAATAAAGAAATCTTTATCATTTTAAACCTATTTTTAAAGTCTTAAGTTCAAAGTTGAAAACAAGGGAAATACACAGTACAGATGAGAAGGGGTGAGAGACCAAAAGAAGTTAAACCTCCCTCCAAAAAAGAAAAAATCAAAAAAGAATAAGGGATAAATCATAGGGGGAAGAAGGGAGAAAGGGTAAATGGTAGTGGTGGAGAAATAAAAGGAAAAAACACATTCTGAGCCCTAATTTTAAAATGTTTCATGTGGTTATGAGGCACAGAAACCAAAAGCCATTACTAGGTTCCCATCATTACAGAAACTTATGGGAAAAAAAGAACGCTTAGTATTCCAAGTGTCTTTTGCTATTTTCCAGTGCCACTGGCAATTGAGAATTCAAACACCGACTTTTGTGTTTACAAAGACCTACGTCAACTGAGAACATGTTCTAGCAGTTCAGAAAGAAAAGGGCCAGGCCCAGCATTCCTGGGACACGGCGAAATGGGAGACACACAGTTATGTGGATTAATCCACTTTTTCAACAGCTTCCTAGAAAACTAGGACCTTCAGAGATGCTAGGACCAGCACTGACCTAACAATGACCTGGAGACTTTGGAGCCAAATAAATGGGCAGCATAGTCCAGTGGAAGCAGGAGCATGGGGAGTTTCCCTGCTGCTGCAGCACACCTGATATAGCTACCACATCAGGTTCATCAACGATTTACGAATTTTAAATGTTTCTTATTACTCCTAGTTCAAATGTTAACTGGTTTTGTGACTCTTCCCAGCGTTTATCTCCTCCTGATGCTCCAAATACACACACTATTCATCTTACCTTCACCAAGCCACAAAGCTTCCACAGCACAAAATTCCTATACTGACATTTAAACCCTCTGATTGGTTATAAACATAAATGTCCATGGAAAAGACAGTACAAAGAGCCAGCTTAAATTCCAGGTAAAAGACAAGAAAATGCCATAGTATATGCTTAAAAATATGTTTTTCAGCCACACGCAGTGGCTCATGCCTGTAATCCCAGCACTTTGGGAGGCCGAGGTGAAAGGATCACCTGAGGTCAGGAGTTCGAGACAAGCCTGGCCAACATGCTGAAACTCCGTCTGTATTTAAAAATACAAAAGATTAGCAGGTGTGGTGGCACAGGCCTGTAATCTCAGCTGTTTGGGAGGCTGAGGCAGGAGAATCGCTTGAACTTGGGAGGCGGAGGTTGCAATGAACTGGGATTGCACCACTGCACTCCAGCCTGGGTGACAGAATAAGACTCGGGCTTGAAATAAAAAAGTTCTTCAATATGCAGGACTAGGGAAAGAGGAAGCTGAAGACAGGTAGGTAGAAGACAGGAAGTTGGTGACCAGTGAGGGACATAGCCTTTGGGAAAGCATGCTTGTCCTCAGTTTACAGAGAAGAAAACCAGGGCTTGATGTAACTTTAAAAACATGTCTAGGAAGAGTCAGAGCCAAGACTGAAATTCAGACTTGTCTGACTCCACTATACCATCCTGAGAAACTAGAGAAAAGACAGAAAATGAAAACATGAGCAGGAAGGAGAGAACCAGCTGGCTGAATCAGAGACAGAGCTTCTTAGTAGGTCAGCTTGAAATGCCTTTTATGTCCCAAATGGAGACTGTTCTCTCTAATTAGCCACAGTCACTTCCCACCTTCTTGCCATTCAACCTCTTTCCTCTCTGCCAGCTATGTCTACAGGCATCTGTACATGGTAAAGCACTGCGGCATTAAAGTATGGTATTTTATAACCACATTTCTCAAAACTGTAGTTTGTGCTGACAGACCTCACCACCCACTCACCCTTTCATCCCTCCCAACCTGGATTCTTCCTTCAACACTACAGAAGCTTCACCAATTACTGCATCCTAACATAACAAGATATGATGGTGTCTGCGCAGTTCAACAGCAGCCAGACCGTGGGTGACTCTTTCCAGAAAGGCTTCCCAGATCCCAGGGGTTAGACCAGTTTCCAACTCAATAAGGTTTGGGGGGAACAAAATAATTCCCCTGAACTAGTGCCATCTGGGCTAGGAGTTAATTGAAAACCAATGATATCTGTTAGCCAACTCCTTACAGGGAAGCCTGAGTCCTTCCATCCACCTGGAACCCCTGGGACTCATTCTACTAGAACTCTGAAACAAGATAACCTCACTAGGATTCCCACCTTACCTTCCTTGGTCATGACTCAGAACATAAGCCTCTGACTATCCCTTTTTCGCCCAACAGGCTCATTTCCATTCCGCTCTGTGCTTCCTCTGTTTAGCCTCATATCTATTGCTCCTCTCTCTCCAAAACCTCTCCACTGTTTACTCTCCACTCCTCAGTACTGCTTTAAAAACTACCTAAAAGCTAACCTCTGGTGAATTTCCTTCTGGCTCCTTTCCTTAAATGAGACCATGAGCTTACTGCTTCCCTATTATTGTATTTTCAAGTGGGTGTTAGTTTTCCTGTAACTTCCTCATACCTTTGACCACTGATGAGTGTCATAAGCTGCCTCCCTTTTCCCCACTACTACTTCAAAACCGTGACTTCTCTGCTCTGAAGTAAAAACCCCTGATGCTTGGATTTCAATGCCATCCAGCCACATCTTCCATTACCCTTCTTTTAGCTGTCATCTAGTGAACACCCAATCACTCTCTGTCATTTCATGGAAGATGTGGGCACTTGGATCACAGCTGTTGCCTCCATGACATTAGTGCCCATGAGAACAGCTCTAGCCAAACTCAGCTGCAATGCTCTGCTTCTCCAGTCCACTTCAGACACTAACTCCTGTGGTCCCACACTAGATCTTGCCATCGTATGGAACTGTTTGTCCTCTGAAATACAAAATTCATCCCCCAATAAAAATGCTTTTGCAATTATGATTCTGCCATTCACAATGTTTTTTTTTTTTTTTTCCTATGGTTGCCCATGACTTTTGCAGTGAAACCCATGGATACCTCTTATTCCTTATCTTTGCAGCATCTGGCATCATAGACCATGCCTTCCTTCCTGAGGCGCTCTCTTTTTTTGGTTCTACAATCTCCTAGTTTTTCTTCTACCTCTCTGGCTGTTCTTTCTATAGGTTCTACTTCTACTGATATCTAATATCTATGGATATTCTGGCCAGGTGCAGTGACTCACATGTGTAATCCCAGAACTTTGGGAGGCCAACGCAGGAGGATTGCTTGAGTCCAGGAGTTCTAGACCAGCCTGGGCTACCTTGTAAGACCCCATCTCTACAAAAAATAAAAATAGGCCAGGTGCAGTGGCTCACGCCTGTAATCCCAGCACTTTGGAAGGCAAAGGCAGGTGAATCAGTTGAGGTCAGAAGTTTAAGAGCAGCCTGGCCAACATGGTGAAACCCCATCTTTACTAAAAGTACAAAAATTAGCTGGGCAAGGTGGTGCGAGCACCTATAGTCCCAGCTACTCAAGAGGCTGAGGCAGGAGAATCGCTTGAACCTAGGAAGCAGAGGTTGCAGTGAGCTGAGATTGCACCACTGTACTCCAGCCTGGGCAACAGAGCAAGACTCCATCTAAAAAAATATATTAATAAAATTTTAAAAATAAAAAATAACATATTGATAGTCTTAGGGTTCCATCTTTGATCTTCTGTTGTCACTCTACACATGCTCCCTTAGCTATCTTACCCACTGACATGACTTTAATGAACAGCTGTGTCCTGATGATTTCAAAATCTTTCTCTCCAATTCAGATGGCCTTTCTACTTTAGGCCCACATAGTCTGGAGTTCACCTCTACATCCCATAATCACCTCAAACTCAGTATGTCTAAAACACAGTTCACTGTATCTCTCCAAAATTAAGTTTTCTTTTTGATTCTCTGTCACAGTGAATGGCACCATCATCCATCTTAATACTCAAATCCAGAAAAAAAATATTGCTGACTCTTGTTTTTCCCATCAGTTCCCTCTAAGTGATTAGTCTCCTATCTGTCCACTTTCTCCCACCACCATCTCACATCTGTACCACTGCTGTTCTGATTAGCCTCACTGTCAAGGCTAGAACCCTAACAAATGTCAGCATTTAGGGAGTGAGTAGAGGGAGAGAAGCTTTCTATGCGAGTAGGGGGAGAGAGGGAGAAGAAAAACAAGAGAAAAGTAGGGTCAGGGGAATATAACCGCTCAAAAAAAAGTATTGCCCTCATTCCAATCTATTCACCACACTGTCATCAGAGTAAGCTTTATAAAAAGAAAATCTGAATTTATCACCTCTTTGTTTAAAACCATTTAATGGCTCCTGATATAAAATAGCAATGACTGTGATATTGTGAAATACAGATTTGGTCTTCAAGTAGATTCCTGGCAGCCAGCTCCTAAAATCTTTAGAATATCCAAAGTGATGTCTTTTTGTAGAGTTGACTGATAGCTGGAAGACCCTTGGGTAGCTTTAGGATAGGGGCCAGTCACTGGAAAGATAAAGGCATGATTAGGGAGGGGAAAGGGGCTGAAGGTTAAGTTGATCACCAGTGGCCAATAGTTTAATAAATCATGCCTACACAATGAAAAACTCCACAAAACCCTGTAAGGTTAGGGTATAGAGACCTTCTGGATAGTGGAACTCTCACGGAGGCTTCTGGAGGGTGGCTTGCATGGGACAGGCATGGATGCTCTGTGCCCCTTGACCTGTGCATCTCTTCATCTTTGTAATGTCCCTTATAATAACTCAGTAAGTGTAAGTGTTTCCCTGAGTTCTGTGAGCCACTCTAGCAAATTAATCAAACCCAAGGAGGGGTTAATGGGAACCCCAATTCATTAGTCAGGCAGTCAGGGGTCCAGGTGAAATAACAGGGAGCTTGTGATTGGCATCCAAAGGGGGAGTGGCAGTCTTGGGGACTAAGCCTTCAATCTGTGAGATCTCATGCCATCTGCAGTTAGATAACATCAGAATTGAATTTGATTAGAGGGTGCCCAATTGGTATTCACTGCAGAACTGCTTGCTCACCTGGTGTGTGAGGGAAAATCTCCCACACATTTGGTCACGAAAGACTTTTGTGTTGACTATTGTGGTGTGAGAGCAGAGGAAAAACAGTTTGTGTTTTTTTCACTCAGAATGACACAGATGGGCCCTTCATGCCCTGGCTTGCTCTTAACCTGTTGAGTTTGGTCTCTAACCATCCCTAACAGCTAATTTTAAGCCTCCAGCCTTACTGAATTACTTTCAGTTCTTGGAACCTATCATGCCTTCTCTGGCATTCCAACATCTTCACTGATGCTTCCACCTTGGAGAACTCATCCCTACTCCCACCTGCTTTGATCTGGATAACCTCTTCCTCTGTGCCTTCATATACCCACAATAAATTCTTTCATTTATTAGTGTGTCCCTCACAAATCCACAAATCCTTGCAGTCAAGAGTATGACTTTTAGCTGTATTCCTGATGCTTGCAATACTGTCCACCGTGCCCTTTCTTGAAATTGCTTCTTCCCTTGACTTCCGTGACAGTGTTTTTTTTTTCCAGATGCTCTACATTTCTACAAGCTGCTTCCCTTCGTTCCTTGATCTCCTGTTCCTCTTCTCATCCCAAAAGGCAAAAGTCCCATCATCAGTCTTCCTGTCTTTGTGTATTTGCTCTTTCAGTTGCTGACTCCTTGTCTTCTGAACTCTTTGTGCTGATGACTCTCAGATCTATACGTCCAGCTCACAGCTCCCTCCTGAGGATGGATTTCCTTTAAGGATGCCTGCTGCTCATTTCCCTTTGGAGAACCCGCCTTACCTGGGACCTCAACATGTCTGAAACGGGACTCCTCTTTCTCTCCAAATCCACTTCTATTTCTGTTAGTAGAGCTACAAATCTCCTCTTCAGTCAAACTCAAAACCAGTCATGTTTGGCCCCATCCTTTCCCTCCTCATGCTTGTGTTAGCAAGAGGTGAACTCTTCTTTGCTACTGATTTTTCACATTCCTCTCCATTCTTACTGTTGCTACCATAATGTGGGCCTTGATTACTAATTGCTAACTAGATCCTTGCTGCTCACTGCTTGGCTCTTGACCAGCACCATCTGCATCACTTTGGCTCATGTTAGAATGCAGAGGCTCAGGCTTAACCCCAGGCTTGCTGAGTCAGGTCCCCAGTCATTTGTCTGCTCACTGAAGTTTGAGAAGCACTAGGCCAGTCCACATCAATAAAGTCTTTGGCTCACACCTGTAATTCCAGCACTTTAGGAGGCCAAGGTGGGAAGATCATTTGAGGCCAGCAGTTTGAGGCTGCAGTGAGCCATGACTGCTCCATTGCACTCTAGCCTGGGTAACAAAATGAAACTCTGTCTCAAAACAAACAAACAAACAAACAAACAAACAAACAAACTCTTAAGTGGAATCCCTGGCTCTAGTCTCTTCTTTCCTTTCATGTATCCTACAGACCACAGTGATGTAAATTTCCTCTAATCATATTATTTTCTCTCAACTCAAATTTAATGAGTAACGACTGTACCGTCTAAGGAATAAAATCCACATTTCTTTCTTTGTAAGGAACAGGGTCTTCCTCTGTCACCCAAGCTGGAGTGCAGTTGTGAGATCATGGCTCACTTCAGCCTCAAACTCCTGGGCTCAAGCGATCCACCTACTTCAGCCTCCCAGGTAGCTGGGACTACAGGTGTATGCCACCACACCCAGCTGATTTTTAAATTTTTTATAGAGACGAGGTCTCACTATGTTGCCCATGCTAGTCTTGAACTCTTGGGCTCAAGTTATCTTCTTGACTTGGCCTCCCAAAGTGCTTGAATTATAGGTGTGGACCACACCCTGCCTAAGGTCCACATTTCTCAGAAAGTGAGGCTCTCAGCCACCTACCCAATCTATTTCCCCAGACTTGTGTATGCTGTTTCACTGATATATTCCATATTTCAGGCCAACAGAACTAGAAATGCAGTATGGCACCAATGGGAAAGAATCTTAACTAAGAATCACTTTTAGCAATGGCATAAGCTGGTTCTATAACCTCAGGCAAAATGTGTGTCCTCTCAAATCTTGGATTCCTCCTCTGCAAAATAAGAAAGTTAGACCAGGCCAGTGCTTTAAAGATTTTTTGGCTGCAGTCTACAGTAAGAAATATATGTGTATCTGGTATTCACATCCATACATAAATATAAGTACAGTTACAACTGGAGCAAAAGTTGGACAAAATAATATTTACTCTTTTCAAATACAATACACTCTAACATTTTCTATTCTCTTCTCATCAATTTATTTCATTTTTTAAAATGCAGGTTGCTAACCACCGTATTGATTTTATAACACACTAATGCATCAGAACCTGGAGATTCTAAAATACTGTGTTTCCTCTAATCCTGACAAGCCATGACTCTGGAGTCCTCTTCTTTGAATGTATCCTCTATTTCCCTACCTTGTACCTTTGCTGAAAACATTTTCTCTCCCTGTAACATGCTCTCCTATTCCAGACTCTTGAAATGCAGTGTGTTTAAGGTCTGAAACTTCTTGAAACTAGAAGCTATCTTTGATGCCCTTGCACATGTAGTACTAGATTATATTTCTTTCTTGACATTCTACACAAGTATCCTATAATACTATTGGTGCAGGACCAGGCACGGTGCCTCAAGCCTATAATCCCAGCACTTTGGGAGGCTGAGGCAGGTGGATCATGGGGTCAGGAGACCGAGACCATTCTGACTAACACGGTGAAAACCCGCCTCTACTAAAAATACAAAAAATTAGCCAAGCGTAGTGGCACACGCCTGTGGTCCCAGCTACTCAGGAGGCTAAGGCAGGAGAATCGCTTGAACCCGGGAGGCAGAGGCTGCAGTGAGCTGAGATGGCACCATTGCACTCCAGCCCTGGTGACAGTGCGAGACTCCGTCTCAAAAACAAAAGTACTGGTGCATATTTCTCATCTCTTGTTTTTGGCTATAAGTTCTTTGAGGGGAGGGATCGTGTCTTTTATGTCTACTTTTATGTCCTTCTAAGCATCTAGCACAGTGTCTGGTATGTGAGAGTCACTCAGCCTGAAAATCTCACTCTCTCACAGTTATTCTTTCTCCAACCATTATTCTATTTAATCAACACATCTAGGTCCTTGAACTCTTCCACTCTCTTCATAACTATCAGCAAGCTGCTTATCTTCACTTCCTTCCCTCAGATTAGACTCAGTCTAGAAGCCACTGGCTAGCACCTAACCTGTCTCTTGATAATCTCTTCACCTCTCTTGCCCACCTGTCTCTTCCTTTCACATGTCTGGCAGAACTTCAACTGTGACTCAATTCAACTGTCTACATTCTCTGCTCCTCTATTCAAATTGCCAAGCATTACCATAAAAAAACCTATGGTCATGCAGATAATCTAATGGTCTTCTCCCTTACCAGGGTCCTTAACACACCATGAAACATTCCTATTTGGTTTCTCTAGTTGGATCTCTAGCCCATTCTCCACACAGGTAACCGGTGTTTTAATTTTTGTTTCACTCTCCTCAAGCCTTTGTCCTCAAACATTCCTTTCCAAAACCTTACTTCCAAGACTGGGTTAGTTTCTCTTATTATGTGTTCCCACAGTATTCCTAGTTACCATGGCCATAAGCTTTAACGCTTTGCTTCTCACTGCCTATTTATTTGTTATAGCACAACTTATGTATTTCTTTTCTTTTCTTTTTTTTGACATGGAGTCTAACCCTGTCACCCAGGCTGGAGTGCAATGGCATGGTCTCAGCTCACTGCAATATTTGCCTCCCAGGTTCAAGCAATTCTCCTGCCTCAGCCTCCCGAGTAGCTGGGATTACAGGTGCATGACACCATACCCAGCTAATTTTTTTTGTATCTTTAGTAAAGATGGTGTTTCAGCATGTTGGCCAGGCTGGTCTGGAACTCCTGACCTCATGATCTGCTCACGACGGCCTCCCAAAGTGCTGGGATTACAGGCATGAGCCACTGTGCCCCGCCAACAACTTATATATTTCAAACAGGCAAAAATTAGTATCATTAACAGTATCTTAAGATAAATTTCCTTTGAATGGGAGCTTCCTTTCCAGGAGTTTGAGGTCTACAAGATGTATCTAGAAAATTTACTGCTACGGAAAATGAAGACTGCTTACATCGAATGTGGGGGAAAGGGAAGAGCCTGTGGTTTTTCTTTTTGATCAGTTGCTGTAACACTGTCCTTCAGGTGGCTGAGGTAGTTTCATATTTTCTTCAGACATCATTAGGCACCAAATCTCTTACAGGCCAACTTTGATGCTATATGAATTCTGCCATCTTGCCGTGCTAATATGGCTCTTGGGTCCACCATCCCATTAGAACTACTAACTCAATTCGTAGTATTTTTTGTTACAGATCTTACAGAGGGGAGTGCTTCTAGGTATTTAGATCCACATTCTACTTTAAGACTGCATATTCAGTTTTCATAAATTGTCCGAGCCTATGGCGGCTGCCATCTTGCGTTGCTGTCGCTTGAAGGCTGTGGCCCTCACAGCCTATTTAAGTTCATATACCTTACTGGACTTAAAGCTCATTGAAAACAAGAAATACAACTTATTCATTATTGAAACCCCAGAACTTATTACAGCACTAAGTACTCAATAAATATTTCTGAAATGAATGAATAAATGAATATGTAAATAAATATTAGTTAAATGAGTAAATATATCACATACAAATTTTATATGGTTATTTTAAGAGCCAATCAATTAATTAATGCCAATAAAACCTTAGGGAATGAAAAGTATGAAATACAAATGGCTTTTAAAATTTATAACAGATGTAGAATTATAGCTGCTTAAGAGTTTATTATTATTTCTATTCTATTGACCAGAAAAATGGATGTTAGGGCCACGTAAATAATAGCATCTTCTAGAACAGGTATTGCAGACTTCATCATAAACCACAGTAATCTGATACAAAGAAGGCATTAATTTTATCATGGCCTAGCTTGATACTTTTTACCTTTTAGTGTAATTCTCCACTGGTTTATTCATCTAAAGATATATTTGCATGTGGCTATGACTGAAAGCATTAGGTTGCTCAGAAAACATTGTTCCATATCTTAAGGGGCAACTCAGCAACTCTTTTTCTTTATTCTTTCTTTCTTTTCTTTTATTTCTTTTTTTAAAGTTAAAAAAACTTTTCTCTGGAATATCAGTAATGTCTATTCTCTTATTTAGTATCATAGGACTTTGCTTTGTGATATAGTCTGTTTCAGAATTCTCCTTCTGTGGGCAAGCCAGGAGAGGGTCCTGACACTTAGTGTACTCACTCTGACATTGTGAGGATGAAGCCCGCCTGGATGCTGGGACATATACTGGGCCAGGTCTGTGTGCTAAATAAAACATCGGAGAAAGAGAACAGAATGAATTTAGTGGTGATTGGATAGCATCCTAAAGCAGAACATAGACTTGACTGCAAGAAGGAATTACGAAGCATGGAATTTTAAGAATAAGGTGCCAAAGGAACATAACCAGGTTTTCTGAGAACCCACTGTTAAGGTCAAACACAGTGTGTCTTTCTAACTGGTTGCTCTTAGAACAAAGCCTGTTTCTCAGCACAGAGATGCTCATTTTAAATGACTGGCACTGCACACAACGATGCAGGAATTTTTCACTCTCCAGGTGTCTTTGGAGGCAAGTCAAGTACACATACCTTAGGAGTTCTTTCTGCTTATTTAAATATTTTTTCTTCCAAAAATTCAAAATGAGTTATTCTTTAGTAAGCTTGCATACAATTTTTAAACATCTTATGATTTTTACCTTTATTGTCAATGAAAAAAGGCTGGATTCTGCTCAGATCGTGATTAAACTAGATTAAAAATAAATGCCAAAGTTTTATTTAGGAAGTAAACTCAAGATCCTCATTTATTATCGCTGATGAGGGGGAAAAGGACAGCAAAAGTCATGGGTAAGGAAACAGGACCAAAGATGGATGTGGGAATAATAACATTCTACTAATCACAATAATGAAAGTTTCCATGATACGTTCCACATTGTAATGAAAGTTTTATCTCGCCATAAAATATTAACAGATTCATTATACAAGCACCGGGCTCTTTTTCTCATGTGTTGTAAAATGCTCAAACAACTTACCATGTATTCAAAAACAAATGTCAGTGTCTCTTTGGTGTGGATTATGTCATGCAGGAGCACAATATTGGCATGTTTCAAGCCCTTCAGGAGAGAAGCTAGAAAAATTGAACAAAATGTTAAATCCCTCATTGATAATGAAGTGCTGCTCTAAAGGTATCAGGCAGTATATATATTTTTAAACATTTCAGATCAAGCATTCTGGTTATTTTACTGCTGGAAAACAATCTCTTGTGGCAAAATAATATTTAAAATTACAGAGAACCTTCATTATTTCAAAAATGGCAAATCATTGCATTTACACAACTTACTGTTCCTATAGGCTAGAGTGATTGCGAAAAATATGTTTCCATTTACCTAATCAATTTCAGCAAAGCACTCAGAGCACTAAATGCTCCCCTCTGGGAATCTCATCATCCCAACTTCAGAGGCCCAGGAGGAGAGGCCTGGAGAGATAAAGGCCTTTGGAGGAGCAGGAAATGCTCTGCTTTCTAGAGCAGGACTTTGCATCACATGACCAGTCTCCAAAATTCCAAGTCCTACAAGGTGTCAATAGAGCCAGTAGATATGTTTGGTGGGAGGCAGGGATAAGAGCATGGGGTTGAAACATGATAGAGACTGGAGATTTCTTAAAGGTAATGTTGCAAACCTGCGGAAAGGAGAAAATGTGAACTTGAAAAGAGGAGTCTGCCAAAGCTGGGGAGCCCAGGGAGGTGAAAGTGGAGAAGGCTGAAGGCTTTCTCTTGCCTCTTCCATAATAGGTTACTAAAGGCAGCCTTGAAGGGAAGAAGTCATCACAAAAGGCAGGAGTGCCTAGGAGGGGCGTTGAAAGGCTGTCTTTGGAGGTTCCGGAGATAGGAAGACCTCCGGCTTCAGGGAGGCAGAGGCTTTAGAAAAGGTACAATAAAGAGACGATGAGGCCGGGCGCCGTGGCTTATGCCTGTAATCCCAGCACTTTGGGAGGCCGAGGCAGGCGGATCAGGAGGTCAAGAGATCCAGACCGTGGTGAAACCTCGTCTCTACTAAAAAAAATACAAAAATTAGCTGGGTGTGGTGGCGTGTGCCTGTGGTCCCAGCGACTCGGGAGGCTGAGGCAGGAGAATTGCTCGAACCCGGGAAGCGGAGGTTGCAGTGAGCCAAGACCGCACCACTGCACTCCAGCCTGGTGCCTGGCGACAAAGCAAGACTCTGTCTCAAAAAAAAAAAAAAAAAAAAAAAAAAAAGAGATGATGAGGCCAGAGGTGGTGACTCACAGTACTCTGTTGACAGCATGCCTGGGAATAAAATGAAGGCACAGCAAACCAGTGCTGGGTACTGAAAGAACATGGCTTCCTGGTGATATTACTTATGTCCTACCAGCCTGTAGGTATCAGATCTGTGAACCAGTGAATTTCTCTCCTTACTTGTCAGTTTAAGCTGACTTACACCGAAGGAAGGGGCTCCATTACACCTGTTAACCCTATTTGCTCTAATGACTAATGCTCCAATTTTTACTTTTTGCCCCCAGAGTCTCTATGGGCTAAATTCATTATTTCACTTTGACAAATGTGTTGCTTTGTAAATGTAATAAATAGCTTCCCAGGCATCTGTTTAATCTCCCTAGTCTCAGACTGAAGGCCACATGGAAATTGAGGGAGTGACTTTCCCTCTTTTTGAGATGCTGCCACACCACCTAGTACCACACTCAGCCAAGAGTAAGCACTTAATTTGTCAAATATATTTATTGAGTGTCTTAAGGGAGAACTGTTTGTGGAGCCAAAAGCCCTAATATGAATCCTGGCCCTGTCACTTCATATCTGAGTAAGCTCTGGAGAGTATCTCAACCCAAGTCTCAATTCATTCCTTAGGAAAAGAGACATCGTCTTTTCTTACTTACTTCATAGGGTTGATATGAGGATGGAATCAGACACCATTTGTGGAACCTTGGCAAATGTAAAGCATTACAGAGAGGTAAATTAGAAATAATATCCCCTCCCTCAGCTTCTTGCCACTGCCTTTCACCTTGAACCCCACTAAACCCCTTCTCTCAGTTTTAAAATCTTGTTTATGGTATGTTTCTGTTAGAGTTTTTAACACCTTCCATATTTTCTGACCATCAGTTGAGAAGGTTTGTACTTTATGTATATTTTTATTTGTAAATTATCTCATAAATTTCTCTTTCCCTCACCCCTATGTTACAAAGCTTATAGCAAAATTAGATTTTAAAAGGATGCAGTAAAGCTGAAATTGCTAAGAATATTGTTAAGATATTTTAGTTTTATGTTTAATATAATTTTAGTCTCACCTAATTATATTACTGAAACTCCTGTTGCTTCTTTTTAAATCTCGATTGCATGATTTGTTCATTATGATGGCCTCATGCCCTCATTTGCTAAAAAGGCCAAGGAACAATATCTACCTGGGATGAGGCTTCCTGCTAGCAACAGTGGGTATAAAATTCATGTAGTTTTCGTGATAATTTCAGTTTTTGTAGGAGTAGGGAAAGTGTCTGTTTTGTATTTCTCTGTTGTTCACTTACATTTGAATTGTTAGTCTTATCTTCAACCCACAGTTTCTTTGCAGAAATCTTTTTAAACCATTCACTTATTTTATGAAGATTAGCCACTTGTACATGACAAGCCCTTTCAACTCTTTTAATCACATACAAATCTATTGGGATTACCTTCCAAATCGTCCCGAACCCCTCCCTTCTTGTCATATTTTCTGCCACCACCCTGGACCAAGCCACTGTCACATGTTGGCTGAATGATTGCAAATGCCTCCCAGCTGCCTGCTTGCCTGCTTTCTTCCTTTCTTCCTATAGGCACTTCTTCACAGGATAGCCAGACACTGCTATCCTTCTCAAATGAGTTAGGGCATGTCCCTCCTGCTTCCAAACCCTCCAGTGGCCTCTCTTGTTGCTTAGAGCAAATTCAAAGGACTTGCAATGGCCTGCCCACCCAGCTGCGGGCTGTGCCTATGGTGACCTGCATCTCTTCACACTCCTATCTTTGCTCACTTGGCTTTAGCCTCATGGCCTCCTAACTGTCCTTTAGACACACTTGCAAACACATTTCCACCCCAGTTGTCTTTTCCTGTAACCCTTTCTTCTCACCACTCCGCCTTTGTCCTCCCTCACTTTCTTCAGGGCCTCTGCTCAAATAATACATATAGGTACACACTTCCTTGATCATTCTAGGTGAAATAGCAGCCCTCTACCCCATCTTACCTCAGCAGCCCTCCACCCCATCCCACCTCCACCCCTCCCTACCCTCTCTCAGGGGCCTTGCTTTATTCTTTTCCACAGCACCTGTCACCACCACCTGACATATTATATATAAATATTTGTTTATTGTCTGTCTCACAATTGAGAATATAAACTCCATTGAGAGCGTGCATTTTTGTGGGTTTTTTTTTTTTTTTTTTTTTTTTTTTGCTTATCGTTATATACTCAGTGCCTAGAATAATATCTGGCACTTAATAAATATTTATCTTTAAATTAGTGGTCACTAATTAGCTAATATCATTTATATACCTCTAGTTGGTTAGTAAAAGCTGTTTCTGTTGAAGATGCTTTTATTCCTTTTTTCTTTTAGTTGTCTCCCTCATTAGATTATAAATATTGTATGCTTTATGGCCATGCCTATTACTGCTTTTCTAGTGCCCTAGAACTACTGAAATAGTTACATGAAAACTGTGAATTTTGCTGAATAATGAATAGGGAATTCAGATGAAAGAGCAGATGATGTTTAAAGCATTTATCTCACAGTATTGTTTATCATTTTGGTCCATGCACCAGAGGGATCTGAAATGCCTACAACCTCAGATGTATGGGTCTTAAACCCAGGAAGAAAAGGTCTTTCTTCTAATTTTAAGGACATTTTATAAACTTCACAGCAGTATGTGACATCTGTCCTGCCGACTAAACAGTTGAGAGACATAAAAGTCAACTGAGAAGGGGAAAGATCCTAAAATTAGCATTCTGATTCTCATAAAACACTGTTTTTTATGATTCACGTATCCTATGCATACTTATTTTTGTTTTTCTTCAAAGAAAAGACACAAAAATAAATAGGGATATCTTTAAGGATCCAGAGGAAAGCTGATTCTCCAAGTCCTAGGATGTGGCTATATGTCACAAAGGCCTGGTAGTCAAAGTCTTCTCTCAGCTGTCAAATCACTGAGGGCACAGACTGAACTTGTCCTGCTCTTTGCAACTCCAGCAGTAGCACAGGCCTGACATGGGGTACTCAATAAGTGCTCATGAATTAATGAAAGCCAGGCCAGTTGTAATGAGATTATGAGGAATCATATAGTCAGTCAATGATGTATTTGCTGCACCAGAGTAAATGGACCATAAACTAGGGCCGACCTTTAACAGAACACTCCTTTGAAAGTTTTGTAAGTATAGAATAATGTACATATTTGTAAAGGTTTTTAATTTTTTGATGGGGTGCTGTGTAAATCTTGTGTTTATAAATGTAATGAAGGTATCAACAGAAAACAATATATACAACTCTGATAAAGGATGGTGTACTGACTGAATACATTTTAAAAATATACATTTTTAAACCTGTTCTGCTATGAACAGAGAAAACATATCTTTTTACTATGCTATTGGCTTTTAGGTTAAGCTTTCTAATGCATAAAAAATTTACAATGGATACATTAAAAAAAAAAACTTCAGCCCCAACCCTCATTGGACATTGAATAAAAAAGTGTTTCTAGTCCCCGTTGTTACATTTTCTCTGAACTGCGAATCACGAATCAAGTAAATGAGTCAAGTTATGAATTCCAAGAAAAGAAGTAATTGAAATAATTTTAGATAAATGTTAGAGAAATATTAAGACAAGTGTCAGGTAAGTAGTTGCCCTAGTATCTTTGGAATTATAATGCTGATCATATACCGTTTTCCTGGCATTATTTTGTTTTATAAGGATGTAACTGTGCACAATGAATTTGCTGTGTTTGTGATGTGATTTGATTGTGTTCAATGGCAGACTTTCTGTCAACCAGGCCTACCCTAGACTATTTGTGGTCATTGGCAGTTCAGAGGTTCTAATGAGCCTCCTCCCCTGCTTCATTGTATGACCTTAGGGAGGCTCCTTAGCCTATTTTTGGCTCAGTTTTATCATATATGGATTGGGAGTCATTACTCTGCAATGTTTTTCTACTAGAGAATAATCTTAAAAGATTCTTAGCTGACACTATTTCTAATTTAAACACTGCAATTACCGGCACTATAGAATCAATGAATCAATGATGGAATCAGAATTGATGAACGTACAACATGATGTTATTTTCTTTAAAATACTTTTTCTGGACACACAAGTGGCCAACAAACATGTGAAAAAAATGTTCAACATCACAAATCATCAGAGAAATGCAAAAAAAACAGTGAGATACCATTTCACACCAGTCAAAAAGGCTATTATTTAAAAGTAAAAAATTAAAGGATGTTGGTAAGCTTCAGAAGAAAAGGGAATGCTTAGAAACTGTGGGTAGGAACATTAATCAGTTCAGCCACTGTAGAAAACAGTTTGGAAATTTCTTAAAGTGAGGCAGGGCAGGCAAGCCCCAAGACTTGCGCTTAGCTTGGGAGGATTCTTGGCTTCACCCAGGAAATAATTCAAGGGTGAGCCAGTGGTGTCAGACAGCAGGTTTTATTGGAGAAGCAATGTGCAGCAGCAGCAGGCATATTGCTCTTTGCAGAGCAGGGCTACTCCATAGGCAGTGTGCCCAGAGTGGCAGCTCTGCAGTTATATTTATACCGACTTTTACATATATGCAAATTAAGGGGCAGTTTATGCAGAAAGTTTTAGGAACAGAGTGGTATTTCTGGGTTGTTGAGTTGTTGCCATGGGAAAGGGTGGTTAACTTTGAGGTGTTGCCACGGCAATGGTAAACTGACATAGCACACTGGTGGGTGTGTCTTTTGGAAAGCTGCCTCCACCCAGGCCCTGTTTTGGCTAGTCCTAAATTTGGTTTAGTGTTCAAGCCTGCTTTTGGAGTCAAGTCCCACCTCCTACCTCAAAAAACACTAAAAACAAAATTACCATTTGACCCAGCAATTCCATTACTGGGTATATACCCAAAGGAAAATAAATTATTCTGCCAAAAAGACACCTAGATTTCTATGTTCGTCACAGCACTATTCACAATAGCAAAGACATGGAACCAATCTACATGCCCATCAGTGGTGGATTGGATAAATAAATAAAATTTGGTACACTGGTGCCATAAAAATACTACATAGCCAAAAAAAAAAAAAAAAAGAACAAAATCATGTCCTTAGCAGCAATGTGGATGCAGATGGAGACCATTATCCTAAGTGAATTAACACAGGAACAGAAAACCAAATACCACATGTTCTCACTTACAAGTGGGAGCTAATAAGTGGGGTACTGGGTACACACAGACATAAGATAGAAATAATAGACACCACACTGGGGACTCCAAAAGGGGAGAGGGAAGGAGAGGGACACGGGTTGGAAAATAACCTATCAGGTACTATAGTCACCATGTGGGTGATGGGACACCTCAGTATCATGCAACATACTCATGTAACAAACCTAGACATGTACCTCTTGAATCTAAAATTAAAGATTAAAAAAATACTTTTGCATTTTCCTTAATGTTTATACAAAATGTATAATAAAAAATGGATTTCTATTTTTATTTTTGCTGTTGCTAAACAATAAATAAGCAAGCATTTCCAAATTCATCGTAATAAAGTAGAAAGGATTTAAAATAGAATAGATATGGATTCTAACAACTCTGATTACTACCTCTGTGACCTCAGACAAGTTACTTAACCTCTCTGAGGCTGGAATTTCTTTATCTCTACAACAAAAATAGCACATTTTACTTCCTAGGATTGGTATTAAGGTTTTTTAAAAATATTATATAGGGGGAGGGGGAGATTACATAATATGCCTGGTCCTCAGAAAAGATTAGTTATACGACTCCTTCCTAAGAAAAATGCTATTAACAGGTTGAAAGTCTTCAGTTTAAAACAAAAGTTGACCACTTAAACAAAAATATTTAAAACAATGCACATTTTAAAGATATGGCTATATAGTTTCAGAAAATTAAGAAATGTTGTTCTATGTAAAAACATAACACATTAGCCCATTCAAATGAAAGTGTTTTCTCCTAGTTGTAAAAATAAACACTTAAAATACAATTCTAGAGTCAATTATGAGAGATTTCTAAGGTACTGTGAAGGCTTCTGCTTTTCTTAATTAGCAAAGGAATGATGGTGGTAGGGAACATGTCTATTTTGTGTATTGCTGTGTATCTAGTAGTAAGCAGAGTGCCTGGTCTTAGTAGGCACTAAATAAGTATTTCTAGAGTAGATGCATAGAAAGCATATGAATTTTTGAATCAGAGAGATTTGGTTTGAATCACCATCACCATCATATAGTGGAATAATGTTAATAATATCTATCTCTAAAGGTTGTTTAGAGGATTAAAATAAGTATGAAAAGCACCCGACACACGTATTAAGATATTCCCTTAGTGCTGTTTATACTTTTGCTAATTTCATATCACATGTTAAGTTCAAATGAAAATAATATTCCAAATGACCAGACTAGTAAATTGCTGCATGTAGTCTACCTGTATAGAAAGAGACTGTGTATGTAGTAAAATCATACTTAATAAATCTTTGGCTGCTATACCATCAGGACAGCCAAATTGTTCAGGAAAAGTAATTCCTGCTTCAAGGCTTTTTAAAGAAGGCTGCATTACTTGTTCAGTTTTCCTGCACGTGCCTTTAGGTTGCCTTTTCAGCTAGTGACCGTGGATTTTAACTAATGAACTCCAGCTGTTCTTATTTTGCCTTCCAGGCCTTCTCATTTAACCTCCTGTCTCCCTGGTCTCACATCCTTAAAGTTCTTACAGGAAAAATGGGACAGTGCCAAAGTTTTCAAATGAAGCCTCATATCTTCTTGAAGGGGAGAGGGCTTTTTTTTTAAAAAAAAAAAAAAAAAAAACAAGGGCTCCAAGCTTTTACACTGGTGTAAAAAGAAACATTCCTTGTTGGAAATTGGATGCCTAACAACCTCCAGTGTGTCAGAAATCCTTTTGTGGTTTTTAATATTACACAAGCAAAGCACTGGGTAAGGAAAGTCCATAAAACAAACCAAGAAAGCCTACAGTTGAATACTAAATATAATTGTAAACACCTGTGATGGAGAAGGCAATTTCTCCGTAAATATGCAATGAAAGAAACATTTAGCATATAGAACAAAACAGATCCAGCTTTTCTGAACCATGCTGAGAACCATCTGTTAGCAAACCTGGCAAAAGGTTTCACTGTTACAGTTAAATGTCAGCCTGAAAAACTTGGCTGTGGGCAGTATCTGAGCAAAGCCAGTCTTAAACAATTGGCAAACTTAAGCTCACAAAGGAGACCTTCCCCTTATGCGGGTGACCTGGGAATTTCTATTATGTTCACAAATACTCTTAAACCTATCCATACATCTGTTTCCAAATCTGATCATCCTTTAATGGAGACCATTAATAAGTACATTAGTAAATGCAGTTTCCATTATGTTAAACACTTAAAACCATGTCTTCTCCCAGAATGCACCTGATCCTACCAGAATGAATCTCTGGCTAAACCAATAGACCATTTGGCCCTTCCAATTAAATTCAAAATGATGTATTTCCCAGGGGCTCTGAAAGACTTTTGAAAAGGGTATCAAATTCAGTTACAAACTCATTTTCAGAATTGCTTTTTCCATGCCTGTTTGCATAACCCATCCTTCCAAGCTCAGATCAAAATCAACGGACTCCATCAGTCACACTGAGACTAACTTGTTCTCATCTTAATTTATAATGTCTTTTATATACTTGTAACTTGAATCATGTGCTCTGTTAAGACTGCAAATGACAGAACAAAGAGATGGGGTTCTCTTCCCATCCTTCACAGCATCTAGCAGCACACTCTGCATATAGTATGTGCTCAGTAAAGAAGAGAAGCGAAGTAGTTAAAAGTGGGAGAAAGTAAGTCCAGGGAAGTGCCATTTTTCTGGAATTTTGCTGAAATGCATAGCAATCCTGTCATCATCTTATTTCAAATGGCTCATGCAATAAAGGTTGATAAATTATATTTTTTCATGATTCATTTTCACTATGTTGGCTTCTTGATGATTATATTATCTTAATGGTAAATAAGACATTAGTCAGGGAAATAAGTAATAATGGAATAATAATAGCCAACATTTGTTGAACTCTGAAAAATAGACTCTGTGATAAGTGCTTTATATACATATTCTTGTTGAATCCTCGTAACAACTCCATTAAATAGGTACTATTATTATACGCTTTCTGCAATAAATTGAGTCATAGTTAGGTAATCTACCCAACATCATACCATAGTGATTGGTGGACCTATGCCGCAAACCCAAGTCCTTTTGAAACCAGGTTCCTCACCCACTTGCAGGGCACAGAGAAAATACAGACAGAACAATAAAAATGCATCCCTTCTGGAAATTCTCCAAGTGCTAGCTAAATAACACATTATGTTCAGACAAATTTCCCAGTAAGAATTCGTGTGATTAAATATTCTTTCTTTTATAGGAATTTTCTGAGGTTATATAGGTATAGCCTTAGCACCTTGATGAGCCCAAACACATGGAAAGTATTAGTCATTGCTCAGTGAATTCATAGTTTTGGTCAAGTGATATAATAGTTTTAAATCTCAGTTTCTTCAAAATTAAGTAATAAAACAGCAGTATAAATGCTCCTGAAAAACTTGTATGAAAAGTAAAAATGTAATTACAGTATTCTAGAAGAATCAAAAATAGATGCTGAATGGATCAATGAAATGTATTTTTTTTCCAAATCAAGGACTCAAAAGAGACCTATTGGGTTCATTTCTGCTGTTCTTACCTTCTCGGATAGCTGTAAATGGGACTCCTTCCTCTGCATTCATGCTGATGACTTTTAAAGCCACTAGTTGTCCATTTATTCTAGAAGAGAGGGATTGAGGGGCACACACTTATTGAGGTGATTCAAAGCAGCAACTTATACCAAAGATGACTTAATAAAAGCAATTTTATTTCAAAATATATTCTAGCATATAAATCTATAATTTCCTCAAAATGAAAAGTTTAATATCTATAAATACATATGTAACATACATACATCTAAGCATTTTCCCTCTTTACTAAAGTGAGATATATATGTTTATTATAGAAAATTTGGAGCATATTATTATTTTTCATCTGACTTATTGTAGTGGTCTTCTTCTTCTTCTTCTTCTTCTTTTTTTCTTTTTGAGACAGAGTCTCACTCTGTTGCCCAGGCTGGAGTGCAGTGGAATGATCTCAGCTCACTGCAACCTCTGCCTCCTGGGTTCTAGCGATTTTCGTGCCTCAGCTTTCTGAGTAGCTGGGACTACAGGCGTGTGTCACCATGCTGTTAATTTTTTGTATTTTAATAGGCATGGGGTTTCACCACGTGGCCAGGATGGTCTCGATCTCTTGACCTCATGATCCACCCACCTCAGCCTCCCAAAGTGCTGGGATTGCAGGCGTGAACCACTGCGCCTGGCTGAGGCATGCGTTTTAAATGACAATCAGGACAAGTCACTTTTCTATTCAAAAGCCATCACATCCCCACACTTTACTCAGAATAAAAGCCAATTTCTTGCAGCAGCCTTCTAAGTGCTACCTGATCTTCCCAAGCTGCACCATTATCTCTCTCTTTCTCTTCATTTCCTCCTACTATCCCCTTATTCATCATTTTATTCATGATATAAGCTAAGTGCTGAGAACAGAGAAGATTTTAATGCAGGTATAAATCTATTGTTTTTAATACAGTGGGATTAAAATCACATTGTTCATAACCTTTTTTCCTCCATGTAACTTTTCTCTTATGGTTTATTCTTGTACAATCCGATATTGAATAATGATGTAACATTTCATCATATAAATATACTATAATGTATTTAGCCAATTTCAAATGCCTTTCAGTTGTTTCTAGCTTTGGGCTATCATAAAAATGCTGTGATGAACATACTTGTTGACAAATCTTTTCACAAAGCCCCAATTATTTCCTTAAAATAGAGGCAGAATTGCTGAATCCAAGAGTACACAGCTGCACATATTTGTACTGATTTGCACTCATGTTCCCAAACTGTCTCATGGAGTAATGGCACAGTAACTGGTCATGAGAGTGGCCATTTTCCCACTGCCTCACCAAGATGGGGCAGGTTTTTGTTATGGGGGCTTTTGGACTTCACTTTTTAGAACAGTTTTAGATTTCTAGAAAAATTAAGAATGCAGTACAGAAAGTTCCCATATATCTTCCATCTAGTTTCCTCTATTGTTAACATCTTACATTAATATGGTATATTTGTTATAATTAATGAATGAATATTGGCACATTAACTAAAGTCCATAGTTTATTAGAATTTCTTTAGTTTCTACCTAATGTCTTTTTTATTTTTTGGTTCAGGATCCCATTCAGGATTACACTTAGTCGTGCTGTCTCCTTAGGCTCCTCTTGACTGTGGCAGTTTCCGGGACTTTGTTTTTGATGACCTTGACAGTTTTGAAGAGTACTAGTCAAGTATTGGGTAGGACACCCCTCTCTTGGAACTTTTCTGACATTTTTCCTATGATTAGACTGGGTTACGGGTTTGGGGAGGTAAAGTACCGTTTTTATCACATCATATTAAGAGTGCATACCATCATCATGATTTACTGACTTTTGATGTTTACCTTACTCACCTGTCTGAGATAGCAGTTGGTCAGGTTTCTCTATTATAAACTTACTCTTTCTTCCCCCTTTCCATACAGTACTTTTAGAGAAATGCCACTATGAATGGCCCACACTTAAGAAGTAGAGAGTTATGGTGCACCTCCTTGAAGGTGTCTTATCTACATAAATGATTGGTATTTATTTGGCACGAGAGATTTGTTTCTTCTCTCCCATTTGTTAATTTATTGAATCATTGATCTATATCAGTATGGACTCATAGATATTTATTTTATACATTGGGTTATAATTTTATACACTTTATTTTGTGGCTCAAATGTTGGCAGCTTTGTCCTTTGGAAGCGCTTTCAGTGGCTCCTGTGTCCCTTTGACATAGCCCTATCGTGTCAGTTTGCTTTTTGCTTTTATCTTCATATGTCTGGCCTATTTGAAAGGTAAAAACATTTATCACATTTTAATTTACATTTCTTCAATTATATGTGAAACTGACTTTTCATAAGTTTATGGATCTTTTCTGTTTTTCTTGTGATTTGCTGATTTGCTCATCTTTTTATTGAACTATTTTGCATATGCTTTCCCCCTGTTTCTTTTGTTTGCCTAATCGTGTCTTTGAAATTTTGTTTAAAAGTTTTATGATGTAAGTATTTTCCTCAGAACATGGTTCTGTGAAATTCTCCCTCAACTGCTGCAAAAAGTTTTTTGGTAAACATAAAATGCTTTATACTTCCTTCCCTCCCTTCCTTTCTTCCTTCCCTCCCTCCCTCCCTCCGTCCCTCTTTCTTTCTTTCTTTCTTTCTTTCTCTCTCTCTCTCTCTTTCTTTCTTTCAGACAGAGTCTCGCTCTGTTGCCCAGGCTGGAGTGCAGTGTCACCGATCTCAGCTCACTGCAACTTCCGCCTCCAAGGTTCAAGCGATTCTCCTGCCTCAGCCTCCTGAGTAGCTGGGACTACAGTTTTATAAATAAGGTAACACTTGAACTGGGAATCTGACATAGGGTAGGAGTCAGCTGTGTGCATGAACAGTGGAGGGCAGCTCCAGGCAGAGGGAACAGCAAGTTAAAAGTCCTTGACTGAGGCAGGAAGCAATCCTGGCATTGGAGCGGGAGAGTGGAAGATGAGGACAGGGAGGAGCTGAGTGTGTGCTGGGGGATAGAGTGTAGGGATTGTATAGGGTCTTGTATAATGACCATTCCAGGGACTATTGTATTAGCTATTTACAGGATATTTGTATTAGAAAATAGTTTGGGTGCAGTGGCTTACGCCTGCAATACCAGCACTTTGGGAGGCTAAGGCAGATGGAACACCTGAGGTTGAGAGTTCGAGACCAGCCTGATCAACATGGAGAAATCCTGTCTCTACTAAAAATACAAAACTAGCCAGGCATGGTGGTGCATGCCTGTAATCCCAGCTATTCGGGAGGCTGAGGCAGGAGAATCACTTGAATCTGGGAGGTGGAGGTTGTGGTGAGCCAAGATCGTGCCATTGCCCTCCAGCTTGGACAACAAGAGCGAAACTTCATCTCAAAAAAAAAAAAAAAAAAGAAAAGAAAAGAAAAAAAAAGAAAAGAAAATCTAATAGTGCAAAGATGTCAATAATTCTCTAATTTAGAGTTTTGATATATTCTAAAAATATTCTAAAACCACAATAATTAAAATCATACAGCACAAATATAAGAAAACAGATCAAAGAAACATGATTTTTAAAAGATTAGAATAGTAACAATATCAAGTATTTGTGAGATCTAATATATAATCATGGTGGCATTGCAAACTGTCAGAGAAAAGAAAATCTAATAAATGGAGCTGGGATCATTGTGAATATACAATATAAATTCCCAATAGATAAAGAGTTAAATGAAAAAGAAAATATACAGTAACTAGAAGAAAAGAGAAGGGAATTCTGTGTCAACATTGGGCTGGAAATGTCTGTTTGTGCATAACAATCAAGTCAGAACTCAGAAGGGAAGGTCAGAAGTGTTCATGGTGCCCATGTATTGGAGTATGTTCTAGGTGCCCCAGTTCTGAGCCACCTTGAAACAGTTACCATGGCCAAATTGATATAAGAAACCTCAAAATAAAATGAAATGTGGTCCTTTATTGCAGATATTCCCAGCATTAAAAAAAAATTAAAGTACACCATGACTAAAAAAGATTAAGAAAGTATAAAGGACCAGGAGCAGGAGAATCACTTGCACCCAGGAGGCGGAGGTTGCAGTGAGCTGAGATGATGCCACTGCACTCCAGCCTGGGTGACAGAATGAGACGCCATCTCAAAATAAATAAATAAATAAATAAATAAATAAAATAAAATAAAATTGTATTTTCCCCTGCAATCTTGTTTTAAAAAGTAAAAATAATAACAACATAAATATTAAGATAAATAATGAATATTTAGTCTTATAGTAGTTATGTAAAATTCTTCTTTTCTTTGTTTTTTTTTTTTCCTTTGGCCAGTTAACTGAAGCAGTGGGAGAACTGGTTGTGACAAGTAGTTGTAGACACCACTGCATTTGGATCAACTACATTATGTTTCTAAAATTAATATTTAACCACTAGTGAGCCATTATTTTTCTCTATTGGAGTAACATAAATTAAAGAAACAAACTTCCAGCTTTCCCATCTTAACTAAAAGACAGAGGAATTCATGGATCTTTTATATATATTTAACAAAGTTTGTTATTTACAAAATGAGTACTTAGCTTTTGAATAAGCAGTCTTTTTATTCTCTAGACATTTTGTATATTTTGCAAGTGTAGGAAATCTAGGATTTATCATTTTTTGCATGTACCATAATTTGCAGAAACCAACTTCAATTTCTTCTACAAAGGGCAGGTGGCAGAATGAAGCTGTGAACTCCAGGTTGCCATTGCAAACCTTTGTCATTGTGATTTAGGGAGGGACATAAAAAACCTGTTAGAGACACTTTACCAACTGTACTTCCCACCAGCCTGAAGAGTGGTAACTGTTCTTTGGGTCAGTAGTAGAGAAAGTCCATTTTCTTTGAATTGAATACAAGAGAGGAAAGGCTGATAAACATTTAAGAGGGCTGATTTTAATTAAAGCAGGGCAGGTTTGTTTTTCTTTCACGGCTATTTAAGTCATCATGTCTCTCTCCCTATCGGCCATGGTGTCTTGCACAGGTCCTCAGTGTTATGAACTTCTATGATGTCTCACTTGGCTTTATAATGTGAAATGATGGGGGCGGGACCCTCATCTCTAGAGTCTCTCCCAGCTACGTGTCACTCACCTGCTAATCCCCTTGTAAACTGTAGCATAAGAACCTTCACCCAGCTTCTCCAAGTTCAAGTAAGATGAGGCTGCCCCAAAAGGGAGGCTCTTCCTCTGCTTAAGGGGAATAGGGAAAAGGGGCGGGTGAGAGGGAAGAGAGAAAGAGCACTTTTTTTAGTGTTGACTTTTTTCCCCCAGGGAAATTAGACAGCATTGCCAGAGCAGACTTGGGAAAGCTCGCTCAATAATTGCCCTGGAAGTAAGGGCCGGCCTCCCTAGACAAGCACACATTAAATTCTTCTTGATCAACATCAGCTGCTCACTCACCCACTGAAAACCCTGCCTCAGATCCTCTTCTTGAAAAGAATCACTGTTACTCCGTGGCCTTTTACTCTTGAACTTCTGGGCACGGACAGCCTGAAGTCCCCTGGGGTGAAATGAAGTCATGGAACATGATGCTTCTTTTAGGTCTGTTAGCTAGAGAAAAAAGAAAGAGCAGAAATAAAATTTACGCAAAGTAAAGATTCAGTGCCTGGCAAAACCGTATTTTCTTCATTTGCCTCATTTTCATTCTTCAAATGTTTTCTAAGCTTTCTATACCCCCAAAAGGCACTTTTCTTGAAAGACCCCTGAAAAAGACCATAATGGTATCAACTGCTGAAATATTACATTCTTTCTTCACCAAAAAATATGTCTTTAACTTTTAGGTTAACCTAAATCTCTTGGAGGGATGTTTTTCAAGTTTTTTTCTGTGTAACTTGGGCTTTTTTTTTTTTTTCTTTCATGTGCACTTAATTTATTGCTATAGTGGAATAATCTAGTATGGCATTGCTTATATTCATGAACTAATTATGACAGTTTCGAATCCACAGCATACCAACCAATACTGCAGCTTGCCTTTTAAGTTTCAGCTCTGTAATTTAGGACCTTAGAGATTTCGAGAGAACTACTTTCTCGACTTCAAGCCAAGTGAGTTTCGTGCAAAGCCAAAGATTATTTTTCCCTTTTGGTTTACAAGAAATTCCCCAAATTTGATAACTACAGGCCATAAATTTTCTGTGACTTTAATAGAATTTTCATTTTATTGGTTTAGACCTACCGCGGAAGAATCAGACCCTGCTAACAAAAAGGGAGTGTCTGAACTCCTTGGTTTATCAATAGGAAAGATGCTCTCCTCCTGGGATACAAATACCTTGAACGCAGACTCCATGGTCTCAGGCTGATTCCTCCGACAGCTGCGTGCCTCACTTCCCTCTGAGCAACGATAGCAGCTGCATCCAGGCTGTACAGTCTTTGCACACAGTTCTTGACCCATAATCTTCTAGGTTCAAGGAGAAAACGCGCACTTGAACCTCTCCCCCTCTGCCTCTCCTAATCCTCGTTCTCTCCCTTTTTGCCAGAGGTCAGCAGTGTGGAGCTTTCATATGACTCACATGAGGGCTCTGCCTGGAGCAGCCTCATGACTTCAGCAGTTTTTCCTTATCAGTGCAAGAAACTCTACATCAGAGAGGGATTGCTTGCAGTCAGATGGGCACCACTGAAAACGAGGCAGCTGATATTGAATAGAATAAAATTTGGCACAGTTAAGGTCGTTGTTCTGGCCACAAGTTAGTGCTATTGGTATACATAGTTTTTAGGGATTGACATTGCTTATCTATGTAATGATATTTATATGATATCATTGATAGTGATGTTAGGTTTAATATTAGGTTTTCCTGGTGCTAAGCTGGACACATTGAGGAGTATTTTCTCCCTGCCTTTTATCTGCAAGCATTTTGGTTTTCAGACTTTAAAACAAATTTGCTACCTAGCTAACTTTTAGTAGTCAAAGAAACCACAGAATCATAAAATAGGAAGAAAGTTGAAGATATCTACTCCATCTCTTTGCCTTTGAACAATAATGTATCTAATAGTCTTAGAAGTGTTGCCATTCATTCATTTATTCAAAAACTATGTGGTGAGCACCTGTGTTCTTCTTAAACATACAGATGATGATATTAGCCAATGGTGATGGAGAGAAAGGGGTTTGAATGAAATACTTTCTTCCTTCAACATATATTTAATTAATGTTTACTATATGTAAAGTACAATATTAATAGCAGACATGTCAAGGAATCTGGCTCAAACTGGTTTGCAGTCTGTAGTCTTCAAACACAGCATTTTTCCCTGCTAGACTCCTAAGATTATTGCCACTATAATGTACTAATCTTAGAGTGAGACAGAGTGGAGAATATATAAACACTCAATCATTATTAAGGGAAAAAAATAAGAGTCATGTCTGTTATCACAATAATATTTATGAATATTTGATATTTGAACCTCATGATGGTTTTTAAAAAATGTTTAATTTAATTAGGAGCATGTATTTTTTCATGTCAAAACTGCCACAAGAGACTTTAGTCAATTCCGAGATTCAATTAAATTAGAGATATTTAGTGAAAAAAAAAGAAGAAAAGGAAGAATATTTGGCTTAAAGACCATTATATTGACAACTGAGAGAGTGAGAGGCTAGTTTCTCAGAATATTTAATAACATTAAAATTTATAACAACATAACTATAATACATTTCATCACAAATGCTAATTTCTTCCTAAAAGATTGTGAATTTCATCACATAAAAGTTATATTCCAGATCAAGTTTACAATGACTTTTCTTGCAGTTTTGTTTTTGAAAACAGAGTCTCACTCTGTCTCCCAGGGTGGAATCCAGCCGGGTGATCATGGCTCACTGCAGCCTCAGCCTCCTGGGCTCAAGTGATCCTCCCATCTCAGCCTTCTGAGTAGGTAGGACTGCAGGCCTGTGCCATGGCACCCAGCTCATTATTTTTCATAGTCACAGGGTCTCACTATGTTTCCCAGCCTGGTCTCCAACTCCTACGGTCAATTGATCCTCCTGCCTCCCAAAGTGCTGGGAATTCAGGCATGAGCCACAGCACTATCCTATAGCCTGATTATTATTATTATTATTATTATTATTTTGGATGGCGGAGTCTCACTCTGTCACAATCTGGAATGCAGTGGCACAGTCTCGGCTCACTGCAACATCCACCTTCCGGGTTCAAGCAATTCTCCTGCCTCAGCCTCCCCAGTACCTGGGACCACCAGGTGCCACCACGCCTGGCTACTTCTTGTATTTTTAGTAGAGATGGGATTTCACTATGTTGGCCAAGATGGTCTTGATTTCCTGACCTTGTGATCTGCCTGCCCGGGCCTCTCAAAGTGTTGAGATTACAGGCGTGAGCCACTGCACCCTGCCTAGCCTGATTATTAAAGGTATAAATTGCTATGTTTAGGTACTAGAACGAGCTACTTTTTTTTCCTTTTCTTCCAGAGACAGGGTCTTGCTTCTGGCTCAGGCTGGCGTGCAGGAGCTATTCACAGGCATGCACTGTGTACCTGCTTAGAACTCCTGGGCTCAAGCAATTATCCCACCTCTGCCTCCCAAATAGATGGGACTACAGGTGTGCGCCATCACACTGGCTTTATGGTCTTGTTTAAAGCCAAGGAAAAATAGCTGATGACTTCTTAAGATGTTTTCTTGCTCTGTGTCAGAAATAACTTCTGTTCTGAAAGATTTCTGAAGGACAGAAGACTTAGACAATTTCATTTAGCATTGTACATTAGGCTCAGCTTGTGAACTGCTTCCGGTTGACTTGGCTGCACCAACTTTAGAAGCCTGGTCACCATCATAGCAAGAGAGGCCATTTCTGGGGTCTTGAAGCACACTCATTGTTGCTGCTACCTCCCCCCATCATAGGACATGGAGCCCTCACATGTGAAGCTGACTAACAAGGAGAGACCCTTGTGCTTCCCCATCAGCCTAAATAGACCAAGAGCCCAAGAGGCACAGGCTTCTGTAGCAACTGTTTGCAAGGGTCAGGTGACACAATCCAGAACTGCAGGAAGTTCCGTGGAGTGCACTTCCACCATTGGGAAACCAGAGATATTTGTTGTGGAGCTGAGATCAGCTCAGAAATGTGATCCATTGTGGGAGTGTTGCGGGAGTGAGCCTGGGAATTTGAGGTTGCAGTGAGCTATGATTGCATCACTGCACTCTATCCTGGGTAAAAGACTGAGACTCTGTCTCTTAAAAAAAAAAAAAAGGAAAGAAAGAGGGAGAGAGAGAGAACGAGAGAGAAAGAGAGAGAGAAAGAGAGAGATAAGGGGAAAAGATCTTTCATTTATAAGGTTGATGCAAAAGTAATTACAATTTTGCATTATTTTCAATGGCAAAAACCACAGTTACTCTTGCACCAACCTAATAATCCTAGTAATTTGCTTTCTCCTTCTCCTCATTTCTACTTCCCTAGGATTGTACAAACTGCCCCTACAACCCCACCCCTTTTGCTCCAGGCTCTGTTTTCAGGGAATTCGTGTGATGACAAATTGTAGGCAGTTTTAAAAGTGGCAGTTAAAATTTTAGGTTACTGATCATTTCAGGCTAGCTTCTCCACCCACCACATTTTTGGAGTTCGTTTTCCTTTCTCAAGTGGTGTGAATTCAAACTACTATGTTTAGTTAAGAGTTGGCCATTTTTTCCCAATCTTTGCAATCTGTCTTTATTAAATTTAGCCAAATATAACATTTCTAGAACATGTTGATTATCACAGCATTCAACAGATATGAGAAATAATGTAAAATCTATGTCATAAACATTGAAAATGATTCATATATTAATGACATTAGAGAATTCATGTATGTCCCTACAATGGAGTAATATGCAGCCGTTAAATGAAAGGAGATCTATATATAATGACATGGAGTGATCACCAAAATATATTAAGTTAAAAAAGCAAAATGCAGAACAATATTTATAGTATATTACCTTTGGTGGCAAAGAAATGAAGGTAAATAAGGTGTAGTCAGGGCCAGGCATGTTGGCTCACATCTGTAATCTCAACATTCTGGGAGGCCAAGGTGGGAGGATTGCTTGAGCCCAGGAGTTGGAGGCCAGCCTGGGCAACATAGTGAGACCCCCCCCATCCCCAAAAATAAAAATAACAAATGAAAAAGTGTAGTAGTAGTAACCTTACCAATAGTAGCAGTATTATTACGATTATTTTAAATCTGTTGTAGAGGAAAAAAGATTTCTCACCCATTTCTAGCTTCATGGATGACATTCATATAGCAACAGACAGATTAACAACAGAAAAGCATGCAAATTTACTTAATGCAGGTTTACACAACGCAGGAGCCTTCAGAAATGAAGACCCAAAGAAACAGGGCAATCTGTATTTTTATGCTAAGCTTGGTGAAGAAAAGTGGATGATTGTGAAGAAACATGATTGGCGGACAAAAGGGTCTGATCTAATGGCAAGAAACTGGGGAGAACCTAGCGAGACCTGTTTGTTGAGATTATCCTTGGTGTCTGTGTCTTCAGGGATAAGGATATTCCTTTCTATTGGGTATAGAAAACTTATCTCTGGAGTTGAGGTCTTATAACCTACTTTAGAGGGAAGTCAGCTAGATTTTATGACATGCTTTAAGGGAGAAGGAATGAGAGGAAGATGGGAAGATGAGAATGACTTTCCTGCTTCTGCTGTTTTCTCAAATATCAAGGCACCATATTTGGGTGTAGCATATTCTGAACCCCATCATTATTATAGGCATATATCAGGTTAAAACTAGTGAGTAATTATGCTAATGTCATTGGAAACCAAACTTTTCAGCATGAGAGAAAATAGACATAAATATTAAATCAAAGAAATCAAGTAAAAATTATGTGATCTTAAATTTGATTTAGAAATATAAACGTATGGTTTTGTTTAAAAAAAAAGTGCTGTCAACCAAAAAGACCTAGAAGCAATGGCAACTCAACAGAAATGAGCAGCACTACTGCTCCACTTTTGGTCTCTTAATACTACAGTGAGACTAAAAAGAAAGAGCTATACATCTGTGGAGAAATGGTGGGTTCCAGATTCCAGGTCTGGAGTATGAACTCTACAGATGAGCCTGGGATATCTTTCTTGCCAGAAAGCAAGAAAGTTGTCCTAGGCTCATCTTCAGCCAACTTGAGTCATGTTAGAAGGATATGAAAGCCAACCTGAAAGGGACTCCCACTAATTTAAGAATGGGAAATTTGAGTAGCAAAAAAATAAAAATTAAAAAAAAAAATGACTGCAATGGATTGAAACACACAGAATGTGTAAAATCTACAACTTTACAGTAATTTTAAACAAAAACAGTCTCTTGAAGGTTTCTAGTTTATAAACTTATTACTCCAAATATTAATAAAGGAGAAAAATCAAGTATTTTTTGTATTTCCTATATAAATTATTTTCCAAGATTATCAAATACTTAATGAGGGGAAATTTTTTTCTTGTAGAAGAATTCCAGCTAATGAATGCAGAAGGGATAGA